ACTAAATGAAAACTCTACAGACACTAAATGCCGAAACTACAGATTCTCACACATGCTTAGGAAAAAAATAATTATAAGTTTGTTTATTAATGCTACTTCATTTTACTACTTCTTCATTTATCCTTGCTAAATGCAGCCTCATTATGACATATGGATTTCTCATGTGAAATTCCAACAGACTTGATTCAAAGCAGAATACGCTCAGCCCTTGAAGTTCTGCTCATATGCAGCTCTTCAAGTCAAATCATGTAAAACCTTCAGCCTTTTGATGACTTGCACCTGTCTTACAATATTTATGAAGAATCCCTGGCTACTCAGAAATTGCTCCCCCCACCCCGTCTAATCATCTCTTCTGTAACATAGTTTCACTTCAAGTTTGCCAAAAACACATTAACAGCAAAGATGGCATAAAGAGATCTAATCCGATCAATGAGAAGACAACTGTTTTATATAGCCAAATAAAATGTACTCATCCAAATCAGTCAGATCATGTTTTCTCCAAACTAGTAAACAGCTGCAGACACAGTCTGCTTCCCATCAAATGTTCCGTGTATAACAAACTGTACCTTGTATCTCTGATGGTTCACTAGTAATTTTTCAAAACCATGACTTTCAAAACATATGACAACTATATTTTATTGAAGAAAGGAATAGGCTTAGACTGCCCAAGCCACAAATTGAAGACCAATCCAGAAACTATGGTAGGTGCCAAAAGTCTGCTGATTGTCAGTATTTGCTGGCATTTTTATTATTATGAATACAACTGCAGACCAACTTCTTCAAAGAAGAAACACACTTCAAGCGTGACAGAAAAGGAAAAGCTCACAACTCCTATTATAATAGCACAGGAGCAGAGAAAATAACTCCTTGAACGCTGTCTGGAAAAGGTATCCCAAAGGAGTAGTTGTAAATGTGTTTAAAAGATGAAGAACCTTAAAAATAAATTCACATCTTACATTCTGGTCTGCGGTATCAACAGTGCTAAAGTAACCAGCAACTTTGGAAATCTGGTAAAGTTTTGACTGCCGCAAACATGAAAACAACCCTTAGTGAAACTGCTGAAGTACAAAACTGCTACCCACCATAATTTTTGTGACTTATATTCAATTCATTGCCAAGAAAAAATCCTTGCATGCACAGGAAGACACAGAGGAAGCCAGACAGACGAGACACATTTTCAAATCTCTGAACAGCAGTAAACTATTATGAGCTTAAATCAGGTATTTACTATTTTTGCTTGACTATGTACATAAATTCCTAGGCCTTTAGAAATTTAAGTGACTCCTGAACATACTTCAGAGAGCTGATTTTGCACCAACGTGACTGTTTATAAACTAAAATTAAGTGCATGCTTTCTCTGACTCAGAGTAACAAAAAAATGGGACAATAAATTGGGAATAAACAAACAGGAAAAAATGACCCAGACTACAATCTCTCACACAGAGGACAATGGAGACTGGTCTGGCAAAAAAAATGGGACATCAATGCCTAAAATTCTTATCCTACCCTATCCTAAAACTCTTATCCATGGTTGCAGCCTGAATTCCCTGTAGCACACAACTCCAAAAGAGCTCCCCTGCTGTTATTGTGATGCCCTGTGCAAGCACAGTAAAGAAAATTGGAATTAATATCACATTTAGAAGCACTAATTGTAGTTACGATGTCCAAATGGCTATCCCCTGAATAAAACAGAGAAAACACTAAAGAGCCATAAAGGAACCATTCCTTTTCTGCATCTGGTTACCTATGGTAAGAATTGCAAAGAGCCAACTCATTTCATCCATTTGAGAGTTCTTGAAATTTACCTGATAGAGTTGTAACAGCAGCACATGCTCCTTCTAGGATCCCAAATATGCATCACTCAAAAGAGAAAATAATCTGGCCATAAACTACCAAACGCTTACTTGCATTACTTTTTGAAAGTGAAGTCGAGCATGTTAACTTGGAGGACGATGACAAATCATCTTTGTAATTCCTGGAGACTGCTGTCACAGTATTGTTAGGTAATGAATGAATTCTTGAATATATCACAAATCCAAGTTCTAGAAAATTTTTGGTGGTGGTATGCTCAGTAAAATGACTTACTGCGCTGTGCCAGAGCAGCTAAGGTAAATGGTTAGAGCTCTAATTTCCAGTATTCGGCCCCTATGCGCAACCGATTCATTAGAATTAGAAAACTTGGTGAAACTCTGAGGTTAATTGAACAAAGAACTCCACTGCAGTTCTTTTTTTAATATATTTCATATATTAAGGAATGTATGCTACACTTGACACATGACTCCTTCAGGAAAGATTAACTGCAAACAACTACCAAACAGCTGTATGGCCTGTTTTCCAGTATGTATGGAAAGATAGACAGTCTATAATGTAACGTCTTGAATTTCAGCACTAACATAGTAGAAGATTTTCTGCTGATTTTACATTAGCGTGTGGAACAGGTGCAAAGGAGTAAATCCTGCTGATTTTACATTAGCTTGTGGTACAGGTGCAAAGGAGTTAGGTTACTGGCAAGCACAAGAAAAATTAATCTAGAAACCAGAAGAGCAGCTTCTCGCCTTCCTTAAACAGTTTATAAAATTAATCGCAATAGCATACACGTCAACGCTGGATGTGTAACCAGCTATGCTATCATTGACCAAGACAATCAGAATACATGGAAAAAGCCAAATACTTCCCTCCAAAGGTAATTGATATAGACAGATGACATAACTAATAACTGGGAATTGGTCCATCCAAGTTATTTCTGGAAATTTATGAGTCTCACATAAGGACGAAAAATGTTTTCATTAAAAGAAACAGAAGTAGAAGGAAAATGTCAGTCTTGCAAGAAACTTCATTTGAAGTGAACATAATTTATCTTTTAGCTACTACTGCAAAAGCTGTAATTTACAGTAGATGAATCACTAATGCGTCAAAGCTATGAACATACATACAGGCTATATTTTAGTCCTATACCTCAGGTGTTACAACTTCCTGAAGAAACCCCAATTGCCTCATTAAAAGAAAGATCAGACAGTAGAAGAACTTATTTCAGTAAAAACTCTCTCAAGCCAAGAGGAAAAAATAAAGCCAGGCTTTATGCATCTACTCTCAACAGAGCCACAGCCCAAATAGCTGAGGTAACTGTCACAAACTAAGTAACTTCTCTCAGCATGTCAAAAAACCCAAGTTGCATACCTTAGCAAACTATCTAAAAAGGTCTCAAAAGTCTGTCTGGATGCCACAAAACACATTCTAGTATAGAAGAGCATAATGGATGTGCATACAGACCACAACTGTTATTTGAGGAAGTTTTGTTTATAGAATTATGATAGAGAATTTAAGTTTTTTTCCCCTCAGAAAAGGACATCTTGCCCCTTGCAATTCTAAGGCTGCAGGATTGAATTGCAACAGAAGTTGTCAGAGAATCTACATAAATATACTGTATCAAGCAATTCAAAGCAAATTAAAGTAGCTGCATGCATGCTTTTTCAAAAACAGTCAAGAGGCAGCAGACAGTCTGGGCTGCTTCTAATCTGACACCAAGATACACATGTTCAAAGAACAGTGTGAGAACGGAATGAAAAAGGAAACGAAAGAGCTTCTGATGCTTTAACTATTTCTGGAACTTTGCACAATAGGAACCTGATGCAAAACTGTGTGAAGGGCTGTAATATCTATCACACATGAAAAGCCCTTTACACCTAAATACCTCTCAAGAAAAAATGGAACCCATACTTGCCTAACATTCCTCAAGCTACAGTCCTCTGCAACCCATACTGTCATGCAAGCTTCAGTTCACAAAAAGCTAACACACAGGCACAGGGCATTTTGCATTTAGATTTATCTCTGCCAGACAACATTGTTAGCATCCTATTTAGGGGCTGCAAGGCTCAAAAGGCTACAGATCCAGTATTACTCCCTTTATACAAATCTAATTTGGGATGAGTCACAGGAAGTCTACCTGCATAGTACCTTATCAAACACAGCCCATCTGAGGTGCCTAATGTTAACTGGGAAGACACATAAAAATTTGTCGATTATTTTACTGAGTAATCATCATCATCTCTATGCTTGCATGAATATCAAGAGAGGTGAAATCTAATGCTTGCTATAAGCTTTTCAGAAACTAGAATGAAGAGCCTTTGGATTTCTCTAAATGTGTTTTATATTTATATATTTGTATGTTCTGGAAATAACCAGTTAGCTTACAACACCTTGCTATCCCAAATGGAAATAATGTTTCTCTTCTTCTACTCTTCACATTTTCTATGCTACATATTATTTAGGACAAGAGACCACTTATTTGCTCCAAAGGTAATAGTGATAGACTTTAAAATTACAGTTAACACTTTTAGCAACAAGTCTGTTTGGGATTTTGGTTTTTTGCTTCTTTAAAGATAGAGCTCAACTATTCTATACATCCTAGTATGAAAGCAAATATTCTTGACATCCAGCCTTTGGACTTGGTTTTGACCAAAGCCTTGCTGAAGTGACTACATTAACCCAAATTCAAATCACTTATTAGCACCGTGGCGTATGTATCGGACATCCTGTCCACTTTCTAGTTAATAAATTAATACATTTCTGCATATGAAAAACACACACCAAATTCTGTCCTTTATAGTGAAAGTTCTATTTCATCTTCTGGCAGACATACAATCTTCAAATTAATTCTTGGGAAGATACTTACCCTGTCATAGGTCTGATTTTATTAAAAAAAAACAAAAAAACAAACAACCCCCGAAACTACTATTACAGTACAGACAGGATTTAATGAGTTACAAAGTATTTCAGTTGTAAGCAAGTTCCCCATAACTCTTCTAGCTTTTAGAATTGTACAGAAGTAAGTACTCCCTCTTTCAGGCAGGTGTTTATTTGATAAAAAAATGTCTTTAGGTTAAACTTTAACAGAGTAAATTTTACATAAACCAGTAGAAGTTAAAAAAAGATCCAGGACTTTGCCACAGATGATATGTGAAATTACGGTGAGTGGATTTGAGTTTAGCTTGATGCCTTACCTGACTGGCTTTCTTTCTCGTAGTAAATCTTCCAGACTCTTTTCACAGTGTTCAGCTGCCACAACCAGTCTCTCTAATTGAAAAAAAAAAAAAAAAAAAAAAAAAAAGCATAAGAGAATTAGAATCCAAATGATACAATGGGAGTACAGACTTCTCAGTTTACCTATTTGGCAGAAGTATTTTGACATACATTGTATGGATAATTACACATAATTAAATGTTCAAGATGTACAGCTTCTGGATATCACCACCGTTTTCATTTATGAGATACAGCAGATTATCTTTCCTGTTTCCTCATGCAAAGCACTATCAATCCATCCATCCAGTAATCCCCTAATAAATGTTGAACCCCTCAGCCAATGTCAGTCAGATTTGACTTCAGAATAGAGGTCTCTAAGATAAGCATCTACAATTTGCAGAAATCTGTAGCTGGACTGATGATAGAGAGACTCAGAGCAACACCAGCTTTGAGAAAGGGACTTAGAGTAAGAACAGGAGTTTCAGTCCTGATGGGACAACTAGCACATTACTAGCTCTAGTCTTTCTTGCCCAACGAATAGCTATAGGACTTGCAGGGGCTGGCTCTGAGTACAGAGGGAAAAACAAAACAATTGTTGCACTGAAGACAGCAATTATAAAGTAGGAAAAGACAATGGTGTAAGATGTTACATGGCAGTGCGAGATAACTCCTAAAGAAGCTAGGCTTTGCTACTTCCATTGCTCGTAGAACGGCTAGTAGATTCAGATTCAAAATGAAATCAAACTAAACTATTTCAAACATTTTTGTAAGACTGTTATAGTAAGATAAAGGTGGAAAACACTTTGAGGAACACAAGTCATCACATTAAAGCTGACATACTTGTTACTCAACTATTTGTTTCTCCATTTTGAAATCAAAGGACCACTTAAGCTTTCTTTGGAAGAAAAAATTCTGGGATTGCCTTCTACAATGCTAGCAAAGATTTACAAGTAGTTTCATTTTACCAAAGATAAAAAAAAAAAAAAAAACAGTTTGAATGTTTTTCTATTACTTTTGTATTCCCCTTTTGAGGGTCTTTAGGGGGGAACGCATGCATCTAATTTTTTTTGCATTGTTTTCCTAGTCTGCTTTCATATTTCTCCGTAAGGGTAGAAACTGACATTTGCAAGAAAAATAACATTAAATCACTATACATAGGATTGACAAGTGAAAAATTCTGTATCAGAATGATAAAATTTGCCACCAAATTTGCCATATTATTTGGAAGTGATTAACTGCTATTCCAGCGACTAGGAACAGAACAGTCTCCTGACTTCATGGTTAGACATTTTATTTGCTATTCTTCAAGTTACTTCAATTATCAGAAGATATTTTCTCCTTCGTATTTATATACACTCACAAACCTTCATGTCATTGACTCTTCATTGTCAAAAAGTCCACGTTTTCCTATTTAACCTTATCTTTTATTTACTAAATGTTATGATAGCTAATATTTCTTAACGTAACATCCCAAACAGTATCATAAGAAAATCCCAGTTTCCATTTCAAGAGGTACTAGCAAAAACAAGATGAACTGAATAAACTTTCTAGATCTCCTGACTGCAGAAAATGAAAAATTTACAAGTTTGAGGGCAAATGAAAACACACAAAGAACCCCCTACCCCGTGGAATACTTCAGTGTTTGGAGTTGGCAATATCCTCATTTCCTAAATATCTGAAACATCCTATCATACTGCATTCTAAAGGGGAAAAAAATTACGTACTCTACTTTATGAGACCCTGTAGCTAATCAAACAAGTACATACAATGCACTTTTATATGGGAACATTGTTGATTTAAAAGTTATAGGTGGCAACCACTTAAATTGTCACAGGTGTTGCAGCTTATTTGTGGAAATTAAGTGCTGTACTCCTGCTGAGCTTGCAACAGAATAAGATCATCTGGAGTAGAAAAAAAACAACTGAAGCCTTATTTGAGCTAACAGTAAGTGTGATAACAGTTACTGAACAAAAATATCTGTACTAGTATAAAGTAATTGTTAGTGGGAGAGATCTTAAAGAGCTAGAATAAAAAAAAAAAAATAAAGGGAAGCTTGCAGCCAAGACACAAGATGACTGAGACAACAGCAACAGCTGCAAATCAGGTACACGAAACCTAATCGTCACATGAAAATGTTCAGAAGATTAGAACATGGGTGTAGGAGCTCAGCATCAAAAATACATGTATTTCAATGTCCCACACAAAGACATGGCACAGCAGTTGAGTACAAGAATTTTACAGTGAGGGATAAAAAGAAAAAAGTTCTTAGCTTTTATCAGTTAGCATAACATATAACAAAAGATAGACAACTAACCTCTGCCTTGGCTCTGCAGAACAGAAACAAAAGCACCAGTACTGCCAGTCACAGCAAAGGCATACAGTCATTTTGAGACTGAAAAACAGCCACTTTCTGGTGCTACAAACGCAATATTCTGCTCAGTCACCTTTAGATATATTGTCACAAAAATATAACTGTAACCATACATAAAATTTCCTTTTCAAACAGATACTCACCATGTTTACCTCTGGTAATGTCAACATACTGGCAAAGCCTGGGATGGGTGATTGTTTTAAGGATCTGAAATCTGCCCAAAATTTTGATGGAGTTAGGTGTCAGAGGAAGGCCATTACTTCCACAAACATCATGTGGCAGAGCTGAGGCGAAGAAGGTGGAGGCACCCATCTCAGTGTCTTTCAAAGGAAACATCTTTTTCACACAATCTTAAGCCCTTCGGAGCAATCTGTGTTCCTTAAAAAGAGAACACAGAGTAAAAATTTATCTGCAAAAGACACAGATTCTTGTGACTCAGCTTACTAGTTGTTTACTAAATAATGCAATTAAAATGTTTTTTTCTCTGTTATGGGGGAATGGGACATTTTTGCATAATGAACACTAATAATAATAATACAGTGCTGCTGCCTCATAAACACTACATTTAAAGATGAAAATATAGCAATAGTTTTAAACACAGATTTAAGAATCAAATAAAACTATTCTAGGAGCAGATAAATGCTTTAATACAAGCCATCTTCACATGACTGCTTATTAAAAAAACAGTAAAGGCACCAAACAGAAAAATCCTTTTCTAAAATACCACCTTGTATCAGCAGGCCACAAGTCCAGCTTACCACAGCTTTAGTGAGAATCCAGCATCTATATACTATAGCACTCCTAATATTTAAAGCTATGAAGTAAGAGTCTTCTGTCCTACCACCATTTCTTTCCCGACCCATAGGTAAACTGCTAGCTCACACACTGACTCAGTAACAATTTAAGGAAGCAATCTACATTAAATACTTCTGTGGGACAGTTAAGCAAAAAAAGTCAGCTTGCAATTTTGTTCCAGGAGCACATAGTTTCATGACTATTTTTCTCACCAGCAGGAACAAGCTCTCTCCTCTGAACTATGCATTTCAATTCAGTGCAAGCTAAACATTTTCGCTACACTTTTCCATAACCATCCATTATGCCATTCAAGAATATGAAAATCTAAAATGTGCACAAGTAACAGACACTTCTACAGTCAGCTAGGCCACAGATAAAAGTGCCTGACCTCTTCTTACAAGCAAACTAAGAATTTAACCTTGACACGTATCAAAATGCACAAACTGAATCAAGCCTCTGCTCAGCTCTTTTCTGTATTACCTAGATGGTGACTCGACACACTACAAGCTGTCATTAGGCAGTATTATCCCTCTGTACATGTTAACTTCCATAGCACATACATACTTCTGTATCAGGATACATATACAAACAGATAAAAAGGCCAAGCATATACGCTCTTAAGTGAGCTCTGGTCTGGAAGTTGTGATGGTGAAGTAGATGGCACTTCCACATAACATGGGATGAGAGGCCACAGAACAAAAAAAACTTCATAAATGAGCCAGTGCCGAAGAGTACTATCCAGCTAACTTCAACTCCAGAGACATTACGGCATGGAGTCTGGCGGCATCTGTGTATAAAATCAACAGAAATAGTCCACTGATGTGAAAAGCATACCCAACTCTCTTGTCAGCTACAGAATAGTAATTATGAGCTCTAAAGAACAGAAACAAATATGCAGTTGCTCCAGGAAAAGAGAAAGAATAACCCTCAGGATTTGAAGCCCATCAGAGAAATAATACAAAAAGCTTAAAGTACAAAACCAACATAATTCTTTCAAATCAGATGTGATAATTTTTTATCATCTTAGGGGCTTCATGAAACAAAACCCAAGCAGAACAAGATTATGCAGAGCACTAACGAAGCTAAGTGCTACTTTTTAATTATTCTTTCAGCCAACATTGACCTGCTGCTTTCAGGAAAAGCTATTCTCTCATGAGAAAGTCACACAGGAGAAACAGTGTGTTTAATAGTTTAGTGTCTCAAAATTATTTTTTCTCTAAGGAAACAACCTTGTTCCCAGCACAAAATTCCCAGTAAAAATGTACTAAGTTTCTTTTGTGAATCTTAATTGAGAAAGTGGCCCCATAACAGGTTGCACAGAGATCCTTATATATCAAACATATTTACTAAGTCAACACAAATGGAAATTATGGAATGTACCTTCTGTTTTAACTAATAAAGTCCAATTTAAGATACAAAGCAAATATAAGACTGCTCTCATTTGTGGGTTTTTTCCCCCGAAGAAACACAGACATGAGATATGTACATTTAAATTCTAACATACATCATCATATTAAATATGAATGCATAGTATTAAGGAATCAAACTTAAAAAAGGAAGAAAATAAATCTGAAAGAGCATTGCGCACTGGAGCTTTTATAGTAGTATTTTTGTATTAAAAGTATTATTTGTAAAGATACAATGCTTTCATATCTCATGAATACTTAATATTTTTTGGACATGATGTATTTTAGGGTGCCAACAGTACAATTTACAGTTAGAATATTCCATTGGAAAGACATAAATTGGACCGAATGCAAGCATGAAGATTTATTGGCATGCAGCAAGTTCCAACTGAAAAGCTTTAACTGTGTAATTATGAAAAGACCCACATTCCTGTAAAAAACATCAGGTCTACCAAATGAACTACCCGGCTTCAGAAAGAAAATATATATTAACCATGAAGAAAAAAAAAAAAACCAACTTGATTTAAAGAATGAATTATAATCTTGCTTGGTACAATAGTCCTCTAATAATTGCTCTAAAATAAAAAGAAGTTAATATGATCAGAGTTCAGGGGGTGGGAGAGTAAAATTACGCCAAACAGTGAGATGCATTATGTCTCTAAAAAATTAAATACATAGTGTACAATATATTTGCTCAGGTAAGAAATGTTTTCATTTTTACTGCAGAAAAATAATCTGCTAGATAATACTTCTCTAATACATTGTATCTGCATTCAGCTGACATTTAGAAAGGAATTTTAATAAAAAGATTTGTTAAATGTCATCAATTCAATAACCATTTTAAGAGATTAAATTTTTCTTGTACTCTAGATCACTGGGCCTACAAGGGTGAATTAGACCACCTGCAATGCTTTCAACTAGACAACTGCAGATTTATCACTCACTTCCTTTGGTTAGGAAGCACACAGACAAAAAGGAAGACAGGAGAAAAGCAAACAATCTTTCCTGTCAGCCACCTAAAGGAATCAATAAAGAATTTTAAAAGGTATGCATTAAAACAAGTTCTCTTATTATAGAATTAAAAATTACTCCAGTAACTTACTGACATTTCTAAAATCAAACAGAAGTGTTATACCTATTTTAAAAATTCATCTGAAAAAAGATCTTATCTAACTATTTTTAAAATGTAGGGGGTTTGGGGTTGGTTTTTGGTTTGGTTTTTTCCTTTTGTTTTTTTAAATCTACATCAAGGTCTGGCACAACTATAAACATCGAGAGCACTACACATCCTCCTCATGTTCAAGGCACACAGTTTTATACCACAAATTCACCTTTTCTATATAGAAAAGACACATATTGCATTAATTTTATGATTTGGAGGAATGAATTATATCCTGCAGAACTTCCCTATTACTTTGAAATAAAGAGGAAGAGAAAAATAAAGGTTTGTTATTTAAAACTGAGAACAGAAACAGTTAAGGCAAATTCAGTTTTGGGATTGAATTCTGGAAATTCAAGTCTGATAATCCAAAACAGTAAGGATGGAAGAGGAAGAGAAGACTTGTCTTATTAGTGCCATCTAAAATTACTGAGTTGTTGTTTCCAAAGCGCCGTTTATTCCGTATATGAGAGTCTGTCACATCTGCAAAAGAGGTCTGGCATAAAGATGAGAAGTCCAGAAGTGGCCTCTTCTACATCCCACCTCTGAATGACCTTCACTAGCCCGCTACCTCCATCCAAGTCTCCCTTAGAAACCTTTACAGTACACAAAAACACTAACCAACATTCTCAGCAAAATCCACCACAAACATAAGACCTTCACAAATTCCTATTTAATATTCAGATTAGCACTATTTTGATAATCTTTCACTTGATAGCTTTTCCATGCCCAACACTGAGAAATAAAATACAAAAGGTAGCCCCTAATCTACTGAGTGACTTCTTTGCTCCTCTGAATACCTACTGCTCTCAGAGAACAAATATTTTTTCTTCAGAACTTAGCATTTTCTACCCATCATTTACAACTTTTTCACTGCAGCAGTGCTAAGGTAATTGAGTCAATGGACACCAAGAACTTTGCCCTTAAAAAAAATCAAAACATATAATTTTGACTCTCAGAAGCAAGAATTACACATACAAACAGACTACCTTGAATGAATCCATCCTGTGAAACGCATCTGTGGTTTCTACAGCATCTACAATGCAGACATAAAGACAACTAGCCATGTGCTAATACCTGTTGGTAATTTGAAATGGCTAGTTATTCAAATGCCTCCTGAATACCCAGGTGTAAATGTCCCTTGCCTAATGAAGGCAGCTTTTCAGCATTAAAACATAATTATAATCAGTACTGCTATTGAATTATTTTTAAAGCAATTGAGAAAAAATTCAGGAGAGCAGGTGGCCTGAACATCCTATGCTTACACTGTTTTTCATTAAATCATGGTATTTTCAACAAAGTAGGCCATTTCAGAAGAAGAAATTCTTTCACAAAATAACTTTTCTTCTGCTCGTCTTAAAACTTTCTTGTTGCAACTATAGTAATTACTAATTTGATAAAATAACTGAAATAAAAGATGCAATTTTAGCCACAGTGTTTCTACTTCACAAAAAAACAAAACTCTGATTTGCCTCCCACTGTGCACCATTACTCAGCTATTCATAAAGTTTATTAAAACGCATAACAAATACACTGAAGAAAAGCTGAATTCAGATTCCTAGAGAAGGGAGCACAGAAAATAAGTAAGAACTTTTTGGGACAATCACAATAAAGAGCTGGGACACATTCACTTCGTCATCATCATCATCATAATATTAACATATCAGCTTAATTTTTACAGGGGGTGGGGGGACTGTGGATTAAATTTAGTTCACCTCACAAATCTTTTTTTCATCTGCAGTATAAACTTCTACTACAAACACCACTTGTACTACAGAGATTTCATAAGATTGCTTAAAACCCTAAATATAAGCAGTATTGTGTTTAACCAAATGTTTTCCCCTGTGGCATAACATCAAAACGTCCTCTTTTACAAAATTTTCTAACTTCTCTAACATTCATTGAAGTAAGAAGTATTAGAATAACCATGGAGTAACAGGCAAATAATTACAGACCATACACATTAGGCATACTTA